AATTTCTATCCAGGCCCAATGGACAGAAATCAGCAGAATTAATTTGCTCCAGTTGAGATCGACAAATCACCTTTCTTCATGTCAGAGTTTTACGTTGCACAAACCCTTTTGCAACTAAATCATCAGGACTAAAGATCGATTTCCTTGCAGAATTCCTACATATTTAATTTGAAATGTAGCTTTTTGTGTGTGTGATTTTTTAGAAACGTGACAATATTAAGTACAATAACTTGGTGCNAAAAACATTATTGGGGAAAATTTCCACCTGGGGCCTCATTTACTCTTATTTATGCAGCATTTCTGTGCCAGAATTTGACAAATTGTTGAATTCAGTCTCAACATTGAAGCCAGTTTTCTGTAGTTCTTAAAATAACCAAAAGAACTACCTTCAAAATTATGATTGTATTTAAGAATGTGCCAAATTACATTAGGCAAAGGAATGCTAAATAAGTAGATTAGATCAAGACCATCAAGACTATATCTCCATATAGCTATAGCCAGTTATAAAAATCAGGCAGACAGCAATGCTGCATTCATTCTGTGCTTACAGCAGGTGCATGGAATATTCAGCATAGTTTTTGTCCCTTTCATTCTACAAACATCATTTTTTTTACGATCAGTACATATTCTCTGGGTTAGTTTTATATTAGTCTGATGTGTATCAATGTGTTCCTTGTTTACTTCTAAGTTCATTTTGAATGTTATCATGCTCCCAAAAGAATTGGTGCCAAAAATATTTTTTTAATTCCATTTTCAACACTAAAATCACTTTTTTGAAAGAGACTTTCAAACCCCCCTCACCAAAAAGGTACAATAAACTGCTTATGAAGAACTCTTCTTCTTGATCGTGTAAACTTATTTGAAATTCCGTAAATTTATTGGATTTTGTAATTGTTATCTGAATACTGATTTTGCTTGTACTCTACAGGGATTTGTTACAATTTAATCATTTTAACCAATTTCACTGAAGTGAACCGGTTTCATATACAACTGAAAAAGGAAATTAAAAACATTTTTTTCCTCTTGGATACTGAGACTCAAAAATTAAATGCCTCAGCCTCATCCCAGTAGCCATCAGCCAGCAGCAAAATCCACAGCTCATTTGTCTCTGTTTTGACAGCCGCACTGTTTGAAGTTGTGGTTAATGGAAATAGGATTTGGTGCGTGTGTTATGGTGGGTTGTGACCGCAATATCATTTTTAACAACAACGGCTATTTACATTTATATAGCACTTTTCACGTCTCAAAGCACTTCACACAGCTGACTTGGAGCCTGAGCTGGTGGGAAGAGCTGGGGGGGGGGGAAAAGTAGCTGAAAGTCTGGTCAAAAAGGTAGGTTTAATGGGCTCGCAGGGAGAGGTGGTGGTGAAGTGGGAGATGTTGTCGGTGTGGGGGAAAGCTGAGTGAGTGAGAGCCTGAATATAGGTGTTGGAAGGATGGTTGGGGGTTGAACAGATACCAAGGTGCCCAACGGCTCTGTGGGGTGTTGTCAGAGTCTGAGGTGAGAAGGCAGTGGTCCTGGAGTCACGGGAAGAGGCAAACAGATTGAGTTGAGTGTCATTTGTGTAGCTGTGGTGTGAGTGTGAGCCTTGCAGGGTTGGGTGGAGAAGCTATTGGAAGAGACAAATGTAAGAGCCTGGGATAGGTAAAAGTGAAACCATGAAAGAACAGATCCATGGAGGTGGAGCAGGGAGGAGAGACAGTGGAGAAGGATGGCGCGGTTGACAATGTCACAGGCAACAGAAAGGTCGAAGAAAATGAGGATAGCCATTTAATAGTGTTCCTCTCAATTCAAATGCTTCAGGCACTTTTCCAAAGCACAGTTCACTGACCTGACTACAAAGTACAATTACAAACTTTTCCCTCGCTGAACATAACTGAACAGCACTCCCTCCAGGGCTCCTTTTACTTGATAGTCACAAAATATTTTGATGTATAATGTCCTCAAGGCAACATAGGATTTTGCTAGGTTTTAAAATAAATTCAGCACAAGTATCATTTCCAAAAATGATACACAAAGGAAAGCCTGGTGGAATGCAAATAATTCTAGTGCTGACGTGAAGTGCACAAAGTGTTCATTGTAATTTTAGTAACTAATTGGGAGCAAAGAAAGAGAGGTCACAAGCTAGAACCACTATCTTGTTCTACCAATTATTGAAATTTCCATACAGGTGCTGTGCTGGCTCATAAACAAAGAAACATATATTTTTCTCAGCTGTGTAAAACGTAAAGCTAAAAATAGTTGTCAGCTGAAACAGTTTAAAAACTTCTGTGGCAAATTAGAGACAAAGATGTCTTGTATAATCTAATAAGTACTGGCAGCCCGGTACTGTTTCATTAATTGCTATGGTGATCTTGAAATAGAAACTGCTAATTATTCAGAGTTTACAAAAAATGAAAAGCAACTAGATACTGTGCTTATCACTTTTTGCACACTTTACATTGCTTGTTTCTGCAATGATTTGAGAAACAGCTGGATGACAGACATGGCTCCTTCAGGATTCACCACCCCAATGCAGCAAGTAGTTTGATGCTCTAAACAGATTGAACAAGCAATCACACTCCAAATCGCTTCTTATTTTGCATGGACAATCTTAACATTTTGGGTTGGAAAGGACACCAGTTTCCTTACCTCAAGTCTAACACATTCATCCTGTTGCCACCTGTGCCTGTGATAGCAAGCAATCCTTTCAGGAATTGTAGAAGCATGAGACACTTTGGAGTCTGTATGAAATCCATCACTGATGATAAATGATATGCAATTTAAACTCACCATGTCAGTTTGACGGACAATTATTGTAAAAAAAACTGTAAGTTTGACCAAATGAAGAACAGGTTAATCCCTCACAGAATAAATTGCCCTCATCTTTTAGTTACCTTTTAGATTAAATGCTCAGCAATGATCAGCACCAATCAGATCGGATAATGTGATCTGTGGTTGTCGGTATTTTAGTTGGTTCCCAATGACTTGAGATCAAGAGGTTCTGAGTTCAAATGTCATTGGATCCACCAATATCTTCATTTTTTGAGGTCAATAAAATGGGTAACTATAAAAGAAAATTTCAGAGGGAGGGAGGGAGAGAAATAGATTCCAGCAAGGCAAGCCAATCAAAGCTAGAAAGCTTTGCAGCAATCCAATGGTTGTATAGCACATTGTCAAATTGTCATAATGTCTCAAAGCGCTTTGCAAGATTTACTGTAAGAATTGGGGCTTTGACTGCAGATTTGAGGGCATGTCTCTCCGAGGGGCAGGATGGTTCACGATGGACAAGTATCGTGCTGGGAGTGGGGGGGGGGGGGGGGGGTGGGGGGGGGCTACTGTTAACTGATGTAACTATTTCATAGTGTAAAGAATTTTAATATTGATTTAAGCTACACAGCAGTAGCCATTTATTTCTTACAGAATGGGGAGAGCTTATGTGGCTCAACACAAGCATTAGAAAGCATAGCTTAGCGCACATCAGAAAGAAGACTGATCATGTATTCAGCTACAAGGATTGTAGAATGATATAAATCTTAATATTTTAAATTTAACCAATGTCTCTAAAATAATCAGATAAGAACGACGACTTGTTGCTTTTACTTTCTCAGTGCACAGTGAGCACTGGTCCATCCTTCATTTGTCAGTGCTGCAAATACTGTATTTAGATTTTCTAAGATTGTAACCACAGTATTTCCCGCTGCAGTATTTATTTAAAGAACGTTATTTTAAAAAAAATCTCAGTCATAGGTTACAAAGGCAATTGAATTCAATAGTCTCACCAATGATGACTGCTGCCAACACAATGTATCCACACTCAGATTTGAATGCAGCTGACAGATGCAGGCTGTTTGCAATAACAATAACTTGTGTTTATGCAGCATAAAAAGTTGACTTAAAGTACTTGACAAATATTGTGGTGGACACCGAGCAGGGAATTTGGGCCGTTTAAAGATAATCCTTGCATTTTTACATAGTGACCCATCACGTTAAAACACCTCAAAGGGCTTCAGAGATTTTTGGTAAAGTGTAAAGAGTGTGCATTTTATAGCAAACTTCACCATCGGTACCACAAAAAATAATACCAGGACGTAAGTGTTTTGCTTTCAATCCAGCAAGATGAATTGGTCATTGAGAAGGCAGGTTAGTGGGAATAGTGAGATAAAAATAAGCATCTGTTGATCCACCTTCCTGATGCTGTGCATTGTTCACCTTAGTTCATAAAAAGGCACAACACAGAATGCTGACAACTCAAAAGAGCTCTAGAATTTCCGGTTTATGATACCCTGAGAATTCCCAAATACAGGTGCACATGATAAATGAATCACTGAAAATGACCACAGGATGTGGGTAAAGAATAGAAACATTGTCTCTATAAATTAACTTGACAATTGAATACTGACAAAGTTACTTTATCACTGCATTGTACATTGCAAACAAGAATCCCAGAGAAGGCAGATTGAAAAAAGTGCCCAATATGTGAAAATTTTAACTCAAGCCTATTTATAGTTAATGATTCAATTAGCATGCAGTCTTAATGCCATAATGCCTTACTTAAAAGTGTTTTTGATTTGTGGGATGCTACAATGCATAGACAGTTTTGCAACCAAGCAACCACAATGAACGTGATGACTTATTTGTACCATTGAAAAGAATGACAACTTTGGTAAACTCAATCGTACAAGATCCTGGCACATCGGTAAAGTGCATGTTGAGGAAAACTGGAAGCCAGCAAATCATTCCTGTACCTAAAGCAACCAACAAATCTATGTCTCCATCAGTTATTTTGAAATAGTGATAGAGAACAGATCGATTTTTGTGTTCAGCTACACATGGGAGTGGCAAAGGAATGCACAGTTTTATTAGATTTCTGTCCCTTTTGTGTTTCAAAAAGGCATTAAGCAAGCTTGATTTTTCACCCCAGCATCTTGAAGCCCCACTTTGAACGCAGAACTAGATTGCGATTACAGTTTTGGCCTCCAGCGCCTTATTAATAGCCATCTGTTCTCCTTTTACGCAGATTTCCTTTAAGCAGCTGCTCTCCTAGCAGGATGAGTTCTGGTGGTTCAGATGAGTTCTTCCAGTCCATGAATCACGCTGAACAAACTTTTCGGAAGATGGAGAACTACCTCCAGCATAAGCAGCTGTGTGATGTCCTCTTGATCGCTGGGGACCACAAGATCCCGGCACATCGGTAAAGTGCATGTTAGACATCAGTGTGCAGTAACTTATTGGATGTATTTCTACCATTCTCAGGATATTACAGTAACCTAGGATCCTTAAGACCTGGTCAGTAGAAAGTGGCTCACTTTGTACTATTTTGCCAACAATTTAAAAACTCCTATTGCTTTTGACAAAATTGAGAAAAATCATACACAGTTTGAGCAAATGCACAGAATGCGTACTGATATTTATCTGATGCCTCGATAGCATATTTATTACAAGCCCGGAAGTCAGTGAATCATCGGATACATTAAAATCATATCAGAGGGGACTGATGACTTCTGCGAAAGGCCATCTGAGCAACTAACATAGTTGGTGAGATATTAGTCAATTTGCAGCACAGCTGCAATAAATCCTCGAATTCAAATAGTCATCAAAGTGGCACATGCTGTGTTTACATGTCCCCTGCTAAATAAAAGCTTGATGCAAAGATTTGTTCCTCGGATCAATGTTCCAGTAGAACAAAGGGCGAAAAGGAGAAAGCAGACCAATGATTAAAGCGGTTAAAATATGATTCATATGGCAGTACCCACTTATGTGTCAGCTGTCAAATAAACTAGCATTTTAACTTCTTGGCGGTGAAACTAACTAACTTGTTACGATGATGTTATTGCTGGTAGAGGGAAGAGAAGTGCGCTCTTTCTGTTTAAAACGTCAGTGAAGAAAAGGAAAATTTCTATCAGCTTATTTTATAATATTTAGCAATGGATAAATACGACTGCATCTCCAAACACACATACAGAGTAACAATGAGCGCAAAAGGGAATATTTATCTTACACAAATGAACGATAGGAATTAAACTGTTTATAATATTTTTAACATGAAACCATTATCAAACAATTTGAATATAGAATCCTACATTTCACCATTCATAGCATGCTGTGGCTCAGCCAGCAGAGAGTACAGAAATATTTCACCAGCCTGCAGATTGAAAGTCCATTAAAAACAGACACTTAGCCCTAAATAAGATGCAAGTGTGACACTAGCTGTAAGGAATATAATAGCAGTAAGAAATCATTCAAATGGATATATCTACAAATATTACGTTTCATTTCACGTTGCAGTTTTCAGGGTAAGAGTGAGGGGACTGAAATGTATCAGCATTCATTCCCGCATTTTCTACTTATCTCTGATTTTATCTCGATTGCTTTCAGGCTGGTCCTTAGTGCTGTCTCGGACTACTTTGCTGCCATGTTTACAAATGATGTCCGCGAGGCAAAGCAAGAGGAAATTAAAATGGAAGGCGTGGACCCAGATGCACTTAAGGCACTGGTGCATTATGCATACACAGGTACCTTGGATAGAATGGAATATTTTACGGAGATCATTTTATCATTTCAGTACAGATGTCTGTATTGGAGGGCAATCTCAACTTCAGATCTTCAGTAAAGTCAACAGTTGCATCTCGTCAGCTGTCTGAATACTGAACCTAAGTCAAGGTACAGGAGGCCAGAGTCAGATACAGTACTTAAAAATACTGGTATAGAAGATATCAAAGCAAGCTACTTTTCCCGATTTGGGTAAACTGTCAGATGCATCAGGGTTAATATATCTATTATATCTACGTGTACATGTGTGCAAGTCAGAAGATTCATCTGTATGTATATTTATATACATATATTGTTTTTTTATTTTTAGCATCATGAACCTGACTCAAGGTTTCTCTATATTTTACTATCTCTGTAATGATCTCTTTCACTTGCTGACAGGTCTACTGGAGCTGAAAGAGGAAACTATTGAGAGTCTCCTGGCTGCAGCGTGCTTACTCCAACTCTCTCAAGTGGTAGAGGTGTGCTGCAACTTCCTCATGAAACAACTACATCCTTCAAACTGTTTGGGTATAAGGTCATTTGGTGATGCTCAAGGCTGCATGAATCTGTTGAAAGTGGCTCATAGTTATACCACAGTAAGTGATTTACAGATTAAGAAGTAATGGGAAAAGCTGTGTTACTGTATTTGATTGCATTTAGCCTGGATGGTTAAGTGGCGTCTTGAATTTTGGTAGCCATGAGATATTTATTATTCACCTATAAAGTACAGGCAGGACACACTACAATATATCCTGGGAAGCATTGTTAGTAGTATTATTATTGTTCACTGTTGTCTCTCCATTCGCTCTCTGCTTTTGATTTAAAGTTTTACTCTCTTATCCACTGTTTTCTGACCATTCAGAACATCAAGAAAGGAAACAGTTTTGTTATAATCCTAAAAAATATGCAATCTATGCTTTTGATAAAATGCCTTATCATGAATGAGAGAAAATTGGAAGAGCAAAAACTGGTGAAAGAAAAGGCTGTTCAACTAACAGCTGTGTTTAAAAGAACAAAAGAAATGAGCTATTCAATATGAGAAAGTTATCGTTTAATTTACTGGATTTGTTATAGCTGATTGGGTCAACAGCATTGCAAATGATTATATACTCTGTTGATAATGTGGAGTCCTGTAGCTCAGTGGTTAGAGCACTCGCTTTGCAAGTGAGAACCTGGGTTCAATTCCAAGCAGGGCCAAACCTTGGGCAAGTTTCCTTACTCCACACACCTGATAATAATCCCTCCAAAACCAAAAACAATAATAAAATTGGTCATTTTCAATCTATGACTGTTTGTGGGACATTGCTGAGCGCAATTGGCTGCCGCGTTCACCCACAAATATACAGTCAATTCACTTTACAGTGTGTTCTGTGAAGCGCTTTAGGATGTCCTCCCGACGTGAAAAGCGCTATATCAAATGCAAGGATTATTATTATTATTATTATTATAAGGTTAGTTCTTGCTTTAATCTGTCAGTTTCTAGCCTGTGTGCGATGCCTTACATTTTCAAGAGAGTTTAGCAATTAGGCATGAGTCTATTTAAACTCCAATCAGCACCACAATTAGTAGTGGGTAATTGTTAATCTGCCGGGGAGATGCATTCAGGTTTGCTGTAAAGCACAATTTCAGTTTCCAAGGACACAAGGTGATACGGATTCTGCTTACGGGAATCATCACTGCTCTGTAGGAAGATCAGACTTTATACAGTCAATTCACTTTACAGTGTGTTCTGTGAAGCGCTTTGGGACGTCCTCCCGACTTGAAAAGCGCTATATCAAATGCAAGGATTATTATTATTATTATTATTACATGTTGATTCATAGTCCATCGTTGTGTAAAAAAAAGTTTTGTAATGTTGGGAATCCAATTCAATCCAGATCACAGGATTTTAGTTGAGCTCCCACTTGCAATCCAATCTATGTCTTTGGTGTGTTTCCTTTCACTGTCTGGTTTCGGAGCACCATTTGCCACCGGTGCAAGCATTAAGGGATTCCTCAGTCACGTTCAAAAAAAGGAACAAACTGCCTCTCATAACTTTTGCACTTACCCGTGTCGTAATTTAATAGTTCTGTACAACTGGATTTCAGTATATGAGAAGAGAGGAAATTGATAATTTACAATGGAAAGCAAATACCTAAAATGTCTGAGGAGCAATTTGGACTTTTGTTGAATCTGTAATTTTAAGACCTTGGTCGGCACATTTTTATTCATTTGATGTTTTTGTCTGACGTGCACTGGCATTGTATTAACCATTAAAACCTGCAGCAGCTTCAAACCAACTCTTTACACAAACTTGTGCTTAACTCAAATGTAATTGCCAACTGCATCTTCTCATGGTTTACTTGTACTGTCCCTGTTGTTGCCACTGTACTACAGCACAGCTTCAAAGACTGTGCATGCAAGTCAGAGGAAATAAATCCACACTGTCTGCATTACGTTTTAATGTAAACAGATTACAAATGGGAATTCCCTGATGTAGTGCAGATAGTAGACCGCAAGCATTTAATCTGCTATCCCTGGGTCAGAAAAGTGGACCACTGCCACCCATGGTATGGAGGACAAAAAATTTAGTCATATTTTGCTCATTATGCCAAACTTAACACAATTATATTTTAATTTGATTTTCATTGCAGTTGTGCACACAGGAATTTTCAGTAGTAGAAATGTGGAATCTGGTCAGTGAAATATGAGCACATCCTGTTTAATCTCTTCACTTGTGGATACGACAATGCAAGACCTTATTAACAATTTCCTGCCTCTGTATCTTTCTCGCACAGGCAAAGCCCATCCTGATAAACAGTTTTGCCTATTTTTGTAAACTGAAATGGACTAAGCTTCCGGTTCCTATTTTCCAGACAAAAAACACAGTGAGAGGATGTGGATAACAGCTCCCAGCCCTGTCATTTTTGGAATCAGCACTTTTAGCTCTGCCTGTTTCCCCCCCTCCCCCCCCAATTGCTTCTCATTTTCGGACAAACCATGTGATGAGATGAAAATCCAGAACAAAAATAACGCACGTGTGACCCAAAATAAATTTGCTGAATATCAAATTTGTTAAATAAACAAGGCATTGAGCAAAAAAATCCAAGCCAGAAATGAGATTGTCCAGAGTCAAAGAGTTGGACGTCCTCCCGAACGTGAAAGGCGCTATACAAATGTAATTTTGTTGTTGTAGCTAATAATCATTGCAACTGTTAGAAGTACAATATTGATAATTAGTGAGCATGCAGGTGAGATCTGGAGGATTGAGTTACTTTCCATCCTGGTGTGTAAGTCTTTATTTTGGTGCTGGCTCATGGGGACAGAGGACTACGCAACAGACAGATGAAAATAGGTCAAAACTTAATACAACGAGTGCATGTACCTGATCAGTACAACAAACCTTTTTCTCCAACACAGTGATGACTCGAAATGATGTGAAGAATATGCGTCAAATACACTTCCATGAAAAATATTACCATGGGAATAGAGAGTAAGGAGTTTATCAAAACCAGAGCAGATTTTAATCTGAATGTCTGTCAGAGTTGATTTATAAGCATTGAAATCTGACCATGAAGATTGATTTACAATATGGAAGTGGCAATCAAGTCACTGAATGATAACTGAGGCCGAATTTTTTGAAGTCCTTTCATTCTAGGCAATATAAGTATGATTCCTGATCGTAATTTATAAAATCATTTAGTCATATATTTTTTATTACTTGACGGAATAAAAAGCTCCTGCAGATAACTGTTTAAGAATTATGTGAATAACAATAATCCATCCTCGTCAACTAGTTTGTTGTTCTGTTCAATTGTGTGTAAGTTTCTTGAAAAAAGTGGATTGTGAGCATTTGTTTTTGCATTATCAGTGTGCAGCTAATGAATAAGGTGCATTTACTAATAGCAAATACTGATACAGAAGTTAAAGCGCATTTTGAAACATGTCCTTATCAAGGGCTTAATATTTTAATTGCTTCTTATCCATCATGCACACACAGTAAATTGAAGTGCCAAGCCTGTCACTACCTCAGGATATGAATTTCTGGTTCTTTTATCATATTGATTGACTGAAATGCTTGGTCCAAATGACTCAATGAACCAAACATGAATAAATGCAGCCTAATAAGAATGAGCTGCATTTGCAACCGTTGGAAAAACTATGTGTTTCACTGAATGCTGTGTGACTTCTTTAGTAATGAGATAGAGGCAGCTTACTGCATACAAAAATATTTCAGTGTGTGGTTCTCACAAATCTCAATCACAAATTTCCCTGCAGCACAGCTTTAGTCTGCATTTCATCATAATTATCAAAAATTGAGTCACACATTTCACCCACCCCTCCAACTTGTTTCACTTGTTTCGACCCTCAACTTCCAAACTCCATCACGCCTAATACAGTCCCTTAAAGAAATGGTGTATATTGCAGAGCTATGGGATAAGAGTGTGGTAATGGGAATAATTGGTAGCTTTGTCAAAGAGCTGGCACAGGCACTATGGGCTGAATGGCCTCTGTGCTGTAAAATTCTGCATATTTACTGCTATCTTCTAGCAGAATGATAAAATAATCCTTACAAGTGCCTTTTATGTTGAGAGGACAACCCAAAGCGCTTCACAGGCTATACTGTAAAGTGCAGTAACTGTATGTTTTGTGGACGAACGCGGAAGCGAATTTGCACAAAGCAAAGTCCCACAATTAGCCAAGGAGTGAATGATATGTCCACTGTTCACTCAGGAAGACTTAATCAAACCTGATAAAGATGCAAATCAGATGTTTAGAGAAATAGATGTAAAGAGAACTCAAATAAGTTTCACTTAATGGAGTTTCAGCAGCAGGGTCAATTATGTTACATAATAATAATAATAATCCTTGCATTTAACATAGCGCCTTATCATATTGTTGAGACGTCTCAAAGCGCTTCATCAAATATATTGTAAAGTGGATTGACTTTATTTTGTGGGTGAAACGCAAAATAGATATACATAGGTGCAGGTGGGAATTTGTAAACTGTAAGCTGTGCACATTTTCTGTTCAGATTTAATGTCACTCATATTTATTGAGGCTGATAAGATTTTTATGGATTTTGTTTTCTCCAGGAACATTTCTTGGAAGTGATAAAGAATCAAGAATTCCTTCTGCTTCCAGCCAGTGAGATTGAAAAGCTTCTCGCCAGCGATGACATCAATGTTCCTGATGAGGAGACCATATTTCATGCTCTAATGTTGTGGGTAAAACATGATTTACAGAAGAGGCAAAAGAATCTGGCGATGCTCTTGTCTTACATCAGACTCCCGCTACTTCCTCCGCAGGTAAAAGGGCAGCAAAGTGGGGTTACTGTTTTTCTATACTGTATGAGGTTAGGAATTTGCTGCCTTCTCAATTAACAATTCTTTTCACTTATTAAAAAAATCCATTACCAAACACTGTATGTTGATTCCATGTTACATCTTTAATTTCATATTCAGTGGGCGTAAAATGCTACATTGCATCAGATTAGATTTATTGTTAGTTTGTTAAAAAGCTGAGCTCTGTAATTAGATATTGAACACGTGTAGAAATTGTTAACTGTAAATACAGCAAATGGTGACTGACGGACTCAAACACTTTCATCAGCTCTTAGCAGATTTGGAAAATAATCCAATGTTTGCCGACGACTTAGAATGTCAGAAACTCCTGATGGAAGCGATGAGGTATCATCTGTTGCCAGAGCGACGGCCCATGATGCAGAGCCCCAGAACCAAGCCCCGCAAGTCGACGGTGGGAGCGCTTTATGCTGTTGGGGGAATGGATACGACCAAAGGTATGTGGAACCACTGTGCACTTGAACCATGTGCGGCAGATAGAATTAGCACCAACATCACTACCAAAAAATAAATAATTCAGGGAGGTCCAACCTTCTGGCTGCACAGGGCCGGGTGCCCTATTTGAGAAACGTGCGCGGGCCACATAAGCAATATTTTTGCGTTTCCCTTCTAGAAACATAACATCACATTTATGGGTTAAAGAGGGAGTGATTAGGTAAACCAGCTGTTAGTTTCGCTGTCAGGATCACCTTTAATTCCTCAGAAACCAGATAATAATGATGATAATAATCCATGCATTTGATGAAGCGCCTTTCACATGCGGAGGATGTCTCAAAATCCCTGTGCAGGATAATATTATAAAGTTGACTGGGTCATGTTCATTATTTTGTAAACTTCCTTCAACTCTGATACCTGCCCCACGGACCCTAAACAAGGGCAAACATCTGTTCCCAATTCTGATGTGCTATTTCTACAGGTGCTACAACGATAGAAAAATATGACCTGCGAACAAACACCTGGATACAAGTAGGCACCATGAATGGAAGACGGCTGCAGTTTGGAGTGGCAGTGATAGACAATAACCTGTACGTGGTTGGTGGCAGGGATGGATTAAAAACCTCTAACACTGTTGAATGCTACAACCCAATAGCCAAGGTCTGGTCTATAATGCCACCAATGTCTACCCACCGACATGGCCTCGGTAAGTAAAACACATTTCTAGCTTGTAAGCAGGGGTTTAATTCTAAAACTCCTCCACAAAGTCTTTTCTGTGTGTGCATCTGACACAGATGTGTCAGAATATTGTCTGAAAGTAGCGATCGTTTGTGGGAAATTCCTTACAATTATCAGTTCTCACAAAGTTTTCGTTGATGTATAAAACACAAATTTGCAATTTTTTAAAAATCCCATTAATGAGGTTCTATAATCTTATTTATCATCACAATCCAAGATTGGGTCTGTTATCAGAATATAACTTTCATGGCAAAAAAAGACAGCATTTCAATTTGAAGCCAGGGCTCAAAAGAATATTTCACAATAAACTTCAGGAATGCAGTTTTTTAAAATATATATTTTACATGAATGCAACTTCTTTTGGTGTGGGGGGTGGGGGAGAAATTGTGTTGACTATTAAACTGTACTGTTATGATTAAAAATAGTTTTCTTACATTTTCTGATGGAAATCTGAAATGCACCAAATTGACTTGGCAATGTGCAATGTAATTGAAATGCTGCGAGGAGAATATCGAATACTAGTAGCTTAGCTACAAATCAATCTGTCTGGATTCAAGTACATGACAGAAGCTCGGCAATAATTACCAGTGAAGAATAAGCCTCCCATTTGTCATATCTGCTAATTTTGGAGGAGTCTCACTCCCAGGCTGCTTACCTCAGCGGATTTTCAGGTTATGCTGGCAGCTACAGTGGTGATTAAGTTTATTGCTTAAAAGTCAGTTAAGTCAGAAGGCAATGGATGACCTCCACATTGTTAAGCATAAATTGTATAAAAGATCAAGAGCAGTGGAACCAACAAATACTGTGTTACAATCTTTCAATAGAATTAGCATTAAAGAATAACACAAGACAAATTATGAGAACTAACTACATTTCAGGATATAAATCAGCTCACTGTCTAAATATGTTATAATGAGCTACGGTGCATAGTTTGTTGAAACAAAATTCTTACAGTACTTGTTAACTGACTTGTCCGATCAAAGTGAGCAAGAAAAATATATTGAAATGTGTGCAGTTAATGCGCAAATTTAGACGTGAGAATTCTTAGGATCAATCTTCAAACTGCAGGTTTTCAGAAACATGTGTCTCCCTGAGCTGACAGCTTCAATAAGCTTTCATTTATGTGCTGCAACACCGAAAATAATTCAATACGACAGTTAAAATAATGCTTAAACACTAGGTGATTCGTGTCGCTGAGATACACAATAAGGCATTATCCAAGCGATGTCAGATGATGTGGATCCTCAGCAAATGTGAAAGCACAGATGTTGAGATGGGTCTGGATCTGTACTGCAAAGGGCTAAATCATTTGACAGAGATAGCAGTGAACCAGCCCTCTGTGTCTTATCAAGAGAGATCATCGAGCAGGACTGTTTGTCGCTCGTAACTACACTGTTCGCATTCATAATTTAGTTATCAGATGGTTCAGCAAATGATTTTAGAATTGCAGATCGATAGGGATTATCGTCTATTGGATGCCAGCTAAGTAGTGTCCTTAATATGTTTGAAGTTAAAGGGAAACAACCGTTCCATCATACGGAAAATGACATTGAGAAGCAGTTGAAGCATTTTTTGAGTCAGCTTCTGCTAAAACCTTGTCGAAAAACCCCCTGTGCTGAGGCCAATGTCTTCCTTTATAGACATAACGCCCAGGATCTCCCAGATGGAAATTGAAATATCTTTTGATATGGTAGCTGCAATTAATCTAGGACATTTGTTGGGCTTGACTCTGATGGGTTTTCCTCCCATCAGCTCTGGATTTTGCTAAATGTGGGTAAATTAAAATTAAATTCAGAAAAAGACAATCATACTGAAAGCAAGTAGTCTTACTTTTAACGATTGTTAATAGGTCTGTGTACTGAATTTGAAGATATTTATGGCAATGGAAATGGTACAGTTTTACACACACTTCTCTCTCACTTCTATTTCTTAACGTTTCCTATCTGAAGGCAATAACATCAAGACAGCTTTCTGCCCTTTTCCCAAAAGGCCATTGTTCATGTCTAAGCTTTGATTGTGCATGTTGACAACTACAGGGGGTTTCAAAAGTACTGACTTCCAGAAACGATTACTGGACACCCACTTTCTCAGTTTAGAATGCTGAAGGGAATTGCTTAGATCACCTAACTCAGCACAGACAACAGATCAAACTTGAAAGTGGTAGCTCTTCTCGACCGCTTTCAATTAAAAAAATCTCCTCCCACACATGCATATGTGAAACAGATTCTCAATAAAACCAGTTAATGCTGCTTGAAAAATTCTGTTTAAGAATATTATTGGAAGCCTTGGGCATGAGATATGGATCAAAGTTAGGTGTGAATAGTGTAATCAGGATCTGGATTTATGAAGCAGTTTTCCACAGGAGCAAGTAGAGTGTAGTCCGCACTATAATAGGTATCTCATGGTCTGGAGATGAAGCTGGCATCATGTGAAAGAATAGCCTTTTCTAATTCCATGCTTTTTTATGTTCTTCTATAAGCCAGTTACAGACACAAATAAATGCATAACATGTCCCACATTCTTGCTTGCAGACACTTGTGCGCTCCTAATCCTGAGATAATCAGTGTGTTCGAGGCAGATTTAATAAAATATCAAATGCTAAGTCACCAGATAAAATTTTAGATTATATAGAATATACATCAGAAAGCCACGAATTACACAAAACTAAAGCAAGAAGTTGATTTGCAGCATAACTCACGAGTTGCTATAGCTGGAAGTGATGTTAACCATTTCACAAGTAGTTTGTTTTCTATAACATAATATCCTGATGTGCATTTTGGATGTAATACATGTCCAACATGTTCATTTGTTTTAAATGGAAATTCCCTTTATGCCACAGCAGTGGTTGATGGCAAGCTAGATCTTTCAGAGTTTGTAAGGCAATACTGTAATTGCAGTTTATACATATATAACAACAACAAAATTACATTTATAGAGCGCCCTTCACCTCAGGAAGACATCCCAAAACGCTGAACAGTTAGGTGTCAGGGCCCGAGTATGGGGGAGGGGTGGGGTAGGGGTGAGGGAAGGCAGAGAGGTGGGAGGGAGACCAAAGGCACAGTCGAAGAGAAGGGTTTTGAGACCGGCCTTGAAGGAGGCAAGGGAGGAAGCGAGGCAAAGGAACCATGGGATGGAGTTCCAGAGTAAACAGCAGAATGGAAAAGGCAAGGATGGGATGGAAGAACAAATCAGAAATAGTGTGTTTGTGAGTGAGGTTATGACTTCTCTAAAAAGAACAATTAATAATTGATGCCAATTGACATCAAAAAGCATCCCATGACCTGATGACTAATTCATTGACCCATATTAAAGCAGTCCTGAACAGTACAGAACCATTTTTATTTAAGTGAATAGCCATTATTTTAATGCACCACTCAATTAGTACAATTGCTTTATATCTTCCATTAAGCCATCAATAAAATCTGTTGCAGATGGGTAGTTGAGTCATTTTTCTATTTCCATGTTAGAAGCATTTTCATGTTATCACGACATATAAAATTGTTATTTCTTATCTAAAAATAAGATACCACGTAAGCTTGAAAATTAGCCAGGCAGAACTGGGTGATCACAGCTTCAATGCCTGGATTGTTTAATTTACGGGCTGAATTTACTGCAGTTTCTACTGTATTTGGTTTGACTACAAAAAAGTACCCATTTGTAACCATCTTACTTTGGTTGAGTAAGTTCTGATCTTTAAGATCAAACCGCAATGAACTTGCTTGATTCATATTATCAAAGATAAACTATGACTTGAAGGAGGTATGAATTTTTTTCGATATGCTGTAAAAGTAATCTTTGGAGAGAAATTGTAAACGGAAACAGGCAACTTTATTGGGTATTTCAGGAGTAGCAGTACTTGAAGGACCAATGTATGCAGTAGGCGGACACGATGGATGGAGTTACCTTAACACAGTAGAAAGATGGGACCCACAAGCCCGTCAATGGAACTACGTAGCAAGCATGTCAACTCCAAGAAGCACAGTGGGTGTCGCAGCATTAAATGGCAAGTAAGTAGCTGTTTTGCAGAAAGGCTTGGTGAAAGCTTTGCATCAAGTCAAGAAGGGTTGGCAAAGTGGTCTGGAACACAGGCGCATAATTTTAACTCAAGACCAATATACTGAATGCTGGACAAACAGAACCAGCTCTGAGCTGTGGAGAGCTCGATTAAAATCGAATGTAGTACCTTCTTTTCAGAAGAAGCAGGATCAATGATCATTTACACCACTTGTCATTCCACTGAACAGCGACAGGCTATTATTCCATTCCTTAATTTCACATGGATCAATCACATTAAGTGGCACAAACTGTTAAGGATTTACTAAGACTTCACCTGGACTGGCCTTTCATCTTGCTCATTGTTTTACAGCAAAAGGAACAGAACTGAAAATATTTAAGAGGGTAAAACTACCAAGTGGAATTTAATTACTTCCAATTGGAATCTAACAACAGCATGCTGAGAAGCAGCGAACTGATCCATTTAGTGAAACATGAAATCTATTGTAAATCTACTCAAATGACCAAGGGAATTTTCCATGTGCAGGTGGCATGTGTATCTTGATCTCCCAGTCTGGCCTTGGATACCCCTAAGCATGATGGTTTTCCGCGTGAGTCAGGCGTTTGATCTTGTAGCCCATAGTTTTGGGCTACAAGATCAGATTTAAAATAACTCTTGATTGACGGCACGATTTGCTGGACATGTTTTGCAGGCTGTACGCTGTAGGTGGACGTGACGGGAGCTCTTGTCTGCGGTCGATGGAATGTTTTGATCCGCACACCAATAAATGGAGCATGTGTGCGCCGATGTCCAAACGAAGAGGAGGAGTGGGGGTGGCCACTTGCAACGGCTTCCTTTACGCAGTAGGAGGGCACGATGCCCCTGCTTCAAACCACTGTTCTCGGCTGTCGGACTGTGTTGAACGGTAAGAAGGGCCTGCAATGATTACTGTGACCGAACCAGGAGGGGGATAGGAATACTGCTTCTGCTTAGAATTCAGGTGGATGACAATAATAGAAGAAATGGAGCAGTTCAGTGTTCACAAAAAAAATCTAGCATTTTTTTCATGGTTTGGTTAATCTCTCTGATACAGAGCACAACATTTAGTTTAAGGCAGATTTCTTTACAAATATCATCAGAATAACATCAGCTTTCTTCAAAATGGATACCTATTTAATTTACAACCTGCACTTTTTGGTACAAATAAAAAAGTTCGAAAGAGAGGTAGCAATGTTTTCTGCTGGGAATGATTATCCAGCTAAGCACCAAGTCACTTATGTTCTTCGCAGTGCAATGATGTGCGGCCTGGTTTATACTGCTCGCTTCACATCGCGGGGCATGAGGCCAGTTTTCTAATGTTATTCAAGGTTTTGAATCAATGCCTTAATAATATTAAATAGTAATAACGTGCATGGTTAGTTCAATGGATTGGGGGTGGGGAGAGCAGTGTGGAGTGTGGGGAGAAGAAAGGCCAGTGAAAAGGGAAACTCACACTTGCTGTGTTCATTATGTGCAGAGGAGAACCATACTGCTCCTGGAAGTAACCTCTCCCTGTGGTGGTCTCAGAAGGAGTATGGCTCTATTGTAATTTATCCTCCCTCATCTCTGTCAATCACTATTTTTCTAATATTCCATTATATGTGAAGGATTCTGTTTGGTGACGGAGCCATTCTTATTTGCTCTTTTGCCTTTTGTACATTGTCGGTACAACTACAGGCAGGGAAAATTAAGAGAGTTACAGCACAGAGAATTAATTGATACACTCCCCTTTCTCACAAAGATATATTAGCAAGTTCACGCAAAGATTTTTTCAGAATTTAGATGCTAACTTTTTTTGTTCACGATAGATATGATCCTAAAACAGATACCTGGACAACTGTGACCTCTTTAAGTGTATCGCGAGATGCTGTTGGGATGTGTCTCCTTGGAGACAGACTATACGCAGTGGGAGGATATGATGGGCAGACTTACTTAAATACTGTCGAGTCTTACGATGCACAAAACAACGAGTGGACAGAGGTAAGAGATCACATCAAGACCAAGCAGAATGGAAAATGCATTTGCAATAGTTAAAGAAAAAGCAGAAAGAATTACATAGAAGAAAAAAAAGGAAATTATAGGCAACAATATTGCACAATGAAAGATCAGTTCAGCAGTTGATTTGTGCTTTACAATCCCAGATTAAAAAAAAGACATGTATTGTTCTGGCTCGATCATGTCAATTCTCAAAATACTCGGCCTCTGCTGGATTTTTTGCAGAATTCTTATTGAGAATGGGTTTACTGATTGAGATGTTTTTGAATTCAAGATCTTTGTCTTTGCTTTCAAATCTCTCCACAGCCTTGCCCCGCCCAATCTCTGTGGCCTCCTTCAACCCTACCGGCCCTTCATTCAGCAAACACCGGCCTGCTTCATATCCACTGCCAATCTGCCCCACCATCTGTGGGTGAGCTTTCAGACATCCTGTCCCTCTCTGGAGCCCTATCCCTGAGTCCCTCCCTCCCCACCTTTAAAGCTTATCTTAAGAGCTTTTTTGACTGCACTTTTTGATCATCTCTCCCTCAGCTCCCCCCAACCCCCAATTGATTATTTGAAGCTCTTTGGGAAAAGCTCAATATGAATGTACAATTGTTGTGTTCTACTTGCAGGAGGTTCCTCTCAACATTGGAAGAGCTGGGGCTTGCATTGTCGTAGTTAAACTGCCGTGAAAAGGCCCAGTGATGGAAACACCCATCTTACGCTGTACATAAGTCAGCTTTAAAAAAAACTAACGTTGCATTGTATGTTTATATAGTATCAAACATTCCAAAACGCATTGTTTCAGAATTATCACAGGACCAGGTGTATACTACTGTACCTGACTCTTGAAATTCTTACCAGTAACTGAACGTTTCCTGGTATTGCACAACACGGATAGAAGAGACTACTGTACACAAATCTGTCGCATGAAGTGTCCCACAACTAATACAGCACATCCATTTAAAAGTCTGCAAAGATGTAGGAAGATGAAGAAACATAGAGACTGATTTAGGACCACCGAACAACAACTTGATTACAAGCATAACGTTTAAAGTCAATAAAAACTAAACTCTCAACAGAAGTTAGACAGATGTTATTCATCAAACATCTGGTTTTCAATCTACGAAGACATCTTCATACTTTGCTCTCAATTCTCCATCACTTCACCAAAAATCATGTGCAAATAAATAATTACGGATATCAGCAGAGCAGTTTTAGAAACTCTTCTCGATCTATTTTGGTCTCCACTGTTACCTATGCCATTCCTCCACACTGCCATTAAACCCCAGCAATAGGAACTCTCAGCATAATATGGAATATCAAAGGTATGTCATGTATGAAAAGAATGACACCTTATTATAAGATGATTTAGAAATGCTTATCCTTAAACTTATTTCTACAAAAAATATTTAGTTCTGAAGTATTTTTTAATAAAAACACCAGTTTAAAGAAATGCAGTTGCAGCAAAATTTTAAGAGTGTGCTTTTTAATAATATTAAACACTGCAACTTTAAAGTGAAAGGATTATAATTGTCAGGGAATTTCAAGAGCTCCTATTTTTCAGGCTGAATGCATTCATGTAATATAAGTCAGTTTAGAGTTTATGATGGAATTCAAATGATTGTCACTCCCTGTGTTTCTAAGATGGATTTAATATTGCGGGAGTTATGTATTATTTGCAGACAGGCAATCGGGGGAGGAACTCAGAAATATATCGTTGTGAAGAATCTTAAAAAGATCATTTCTAATGAAGCTTGAGGCACATTTTCTAAATCGAGAGTAATTGCATTGATCTGATACATCGCACAGTTTTAAAAAGAATTTAAACTGAAGCTAGTGCTGCCATATAGAGCACACACTTGGAACAGTGCTCTCACTCGCTGTACAAGTGAATATATTGGCACAGCCATCAGGTTTCTTCTGTACCAATAAAATTGATACTTAGCCTTTCAATATCTCAAAAAACGTTTTGCTTTCCGCACAAACCTTCCACTACGTCGCCGCAGAGATTCACACAGCATTCTTATCAATTATTAATGATTATAAATTATAAAGTACATTATAAATCAATGCAATGCATTTATTACTCCCATTTGTGGTCTAAACATATATTAAACTGCATNAAAAAAGTTTTAAAAATGATATAATGAACATGGCATAAAATGAACATTTTCAAAATTTCTACTTTTAATTACTCTAGTAAAATAAATGAATAAAATACACCAAAGCTAGTTATAGGCTTATTTATGTAGTGCTGACAATGCAGAGTTATATATAAAGATATATCTATAAAAAAAAAGTACTGTTCAAACCGAATGTCCATCTATATTCATATCATATTGATATTGTCAAATGTATTATGGGTCAACCAATATTCTGAGCGTTTGAATGTGCCAACAGAATTACAGCAGAGTGTGTATATAGACAGCTGTAAAGGCAAACTGATATTCATGTACTTGTATTGTCCAACATTACACATTTCAGTGCTCAGCCAGTGAGGGAGAACATTTGGCATGCAATTGGTTAAAGAACCATAGACATTACTGGGTTCTGCAGTGCCCAAACATTTGACTTCTCATTGTGAACAGAGCACAGTTCAAATAGATTAGCTACTGAGAGATGGGATCATATTTATAACAGAATTAAATTGTCAGATTTTGTTTATTTTAGGATCAAAGAATAAGAATTAGAAATGTAGGTTTTGTACAAGTGATTTTTCAACTCAACCACTGACTTTCACAAAGTTGACAAATAAGGAATGAAGAGATATTAACATACAAAACTCAAGGTTCTCTACCTCAGCCATTAAAAGAACTGTTATCTTCAAAAAACCAACTGAGGTTTACACTGGGAGTTGGGAACTGGAATGCTCCACACTTCCGCTCATTCCTCATCATCAGTAAAGACTCTTTCGAATTATTCTATGATTAACTGGAATGGACTCCAGTGGATGCCCGATCATTGTTGGTTTGCAACACCAGCTTCAGGTTGCACCAGGACAAAACCAAATGAGATCTGCACTCACTTGGCGGTAGAACAAACAGCAAGAAAATAACAAACAACCATGGGCAGTACAATTTTCAAAGTTAGTCCACTGGACTTTCCTGCTTATCCTGTGTCATGTTAATGTGAAGGTCACACAGACAGCTTATATGGAGTAATAAAGTGTGCAAACTACAATATTGGGAAATGACTCGTTAAACCTAATGTATTTGATACTGTCAATGCTTGAGTCTCATCGTGTCCATATAAAAGCAGTCAAGATGGTGCTCCAGCTTAGCAGAAATTTACATTGTTGTGGTACTTCCAGGATGTTGTGTATTTAAGGACCACTGAACTCTTCCAGCCCTTATATTCTCACAATGTTTACAGTTCAGCTGTCAATCTTAACTCTTGTGCTGCACCTGGAAGAGAAGACTTCCAGTTTTGGAGTTAAAACAGCTGGCAGGAGTTGTGATGGATCTATCACTTTGTAATTGAGTATTTACAGTACATAATGCTGGTTTCCATGTGATTTTTATTCCAAATTCAATGAGGCAAATTAAATTTAGCAGATGGATTGCAAATTAGATATTGTTTGGCTTCAAAAAAAGAAACTAAATTTAGCAACTTCGTTCATGAGCCATTGATGTTAAATGAAATATTTTGGGTGAATATTAAGGTTTTGAAAGGTTATATGATGTGCAAAATGAATATTTTTGAGGTCTTATGAGACAATTTTATGACGCAAGAGGCCAAAAATTCTACTGAGAACAGCTATTTTACACTGTCTTTCAGTATTATGTGATTGTAAGGCTATGAAAAGTGTTTATGTAAGCTTGCGTTTTTCAGCACTGTAATTTATAACAAACATTGTGCTCATTATTGTGTGTGTTTTTTGTTTTCTCGAGCATGCAAGGATGCAGTCGCTTTCTTATTGCACTCTTGGTATATTTGCCTGTAAACTTTCTGTGTCATTACTCTGCAGATGCCACTTTGCAAATAAAGTCATTTGAAACAAGGCTCTTGCATTATTTTCTTGTCTTCAAATGGAGCAGGAATGAAGGAATGAAATCAGGCACTTAACCCTTGGGCATCAAGTTTTCCCCATGGATTGTAAAGTTATTCTAGGAGAGGCAAATCATGCTACCGTTTGCTACCTTTAACAGAAACAGGACTACAATCCTGCAAAAACAGGAATGATACAGTATATAGTGACCTGATATACTGAATAGAGTGCGATACCTATAGAAAAACGCATTGAAAGCCTGTAGAACTGTAGTATGACATTACAGCAAAACACACAACATGCTGAGATATTGACCCTTAGAAAAGGATTTCTACCACCAAGTGCAGTGTTTTTTGATGAAGAACATCTCCTTAAGGACTAGTGGATATTAGCTTGAGGTTTCATTAGTTGATACCTTCTTCATGAAAAAAAAATGCTCCCTCCCACTCCCCCCTTTTGTAGCTCACAATGATTTCTTGGAGAACTTTCATTTCTGTGTGATTTTGAAAAAAAATGACCAATGGCCCATCTATCATTCTGGTTAATTCAAACACCTTAACCTCATCCTTTAATAATAACTGTAGAGTTATGGGATGGCTTGAAGACTAATTTTCCAGTTAATCAAATTACAAGATGCTGATAGTTGAAGGAATAATTAATAGTTCCAGCCTACATGTGAACAGTCCTTGTAAAACGTCTCCCTGAAACAGCTTAAGATGCTATTGAAAATAATGGTTAGCAGATTTCCTCTCCAATTGTTTAAGGAATCCAAATGGATTGTGCTGTGTGTAAAATAGGCTCTCTCACCCTTCCATAAATCTCACTTTATGAAATCTACGATCAGTGAGATACTGACATGTTGATGCAAGAGTGTGTATTCCAATGAACGCATGCATTGCTCTGAAATACCGTCTATCCTCTGAAACTCAAGGTTAGAATACAACCCACAGGTCTAATCCCTCTGATGCTCATTAACGTTTAAAAGTGAAACATGTTCTCGCAACCGCAGTACAAAACATGCCCTGCAATCCAGTAAATTTCAATCCACTTCATGGATGCCTTAAGACCATGCCTGGCACACTGTCCAAAACGTATCGATATTTTTGGACCACAAACAATTGCACACCATTTAAAAGAGAGTCGGCGATGCTGATTTGAATGCTATGGGGTTGGTTAAGGCTCTAATTTTATGCAGAGAGAGAAAAAAAGCAAAGATAGCTTCTCATCATCACTCGCAGCTTGGAAGAATTACTGAGTTCAACGGCATGAGAAAGCTGAATTATCATCGGTACATTCAGAGTTCATCGGCGAATACTTCAGTAATCTTATCACTTCAGCTGTGTATGTTAATTTGGCTCCATTACGCTCATTAACATCTCCCTCCCAGTCTTTTTAATCATGTTATCAGCATTAAGTATTTGAGGAAAAATGCTGAAGTTGATCCTAATTTGTTTTAATTATATTTTAATGCTTATTGATGGCAAGACGTACATTTCAGGAAGAGCATAAGTTGGATCCGAAACAAGAACTGTACCACTTGAAAAATGGGCAAAATGCCGATCGTTGTGATACCCGTTCAATGCAAAGTTCTCAGCACTGTATTCACACCCAAAGTACCGCAGTGATTCTGATTGACAGAGATCAAGGTGAATCAAGGCAACCTTTAAAGTCGGTTTCATGATTGTTATAGGCAACAGTGATAAGATTCTTTGAAATCCTGTGCACGATGCTCATGCACATTATTGGACATCACCCACAAACATACACAGTCTCACCAGTTTGCAGTATATCTTGTGAAGCTTTGAGACATTTCAACCACGTGATAAGGCGTGATATCATATGCATATTATGATCAATCAGATAGATTCCATCAGCTGCATGATTTGGAGCAGCAGATGTATAGCCCACTTGGCAATCATGCCAGTGGCAACTCTATACCATCAAGTAGCCTTGGTGGTGCTATAGTCAATGCCATCTCTGAGTTTACAACAAATACGGTACTGGAATCACAGCAAGCAGAACTCTCCTCAACCCTGACAAATGTATGTGGGAGTGGATAGAATAGATCAGGACATCTCTGCTCACAATCACTTCACTTGCTTCCAACAGCATAAATTGGCCATTAATTTGAGACTTAAATCAAATGCACTACTTTCGAGACACTATTTTACTGTATGCATACAATTAGATTTAACGTGCTGTTCACATCGAACATTGTTTTCATGCAGGAGAGTTTGCGACCTTGACTAAAACCCTTGACAAAAGCACGATTTGCTGTCAGCCAACTAACATATGCATTCCCACAAGTGAGAGGAAACTAGTGTCAGAAAGTGACCCTCCACACCATCCTTCAAAAGCAGACAAACATCTGGCACAACCCAAGTGTTAGGGAAGTGTTAAACATCCTCTGTTTATCAATGAATGATTGTTTGAATCACACTTGACAAAGTAAGCTGCTTCAGCAATGAGAAAATATGCCGTGTCTCTACAATGTTGGCTGGCATATCTTGGCTACTTTAATCCAAATATTTTTGACCTGATTGACGAAAACTGAGTACACTGCCAATCACAGCATAATAACATAACTGTTTTGACAGTTTAAAGATATATTTGAGCTTAAATAATTTACAGGTACTGTTGAATTATTTTCACCATATGTGAAATGGTTGTTTTACATTAATTACTCAGTGAAAATGTTCAATAGTAAAAAGGTAAAAGTGTCCAAAATGGGAAAATAAGGAATTCAAGTTGGGACTTGTTCCAATGACTGGAGCAACGCAATGCATGTCACCCTGACCCAAGGGAACCCCACTACTAAAGCAGATTGAATTCCTATTAAGGAGTCCTAGTAGAAATTGTCATGTATCAGACTCTACTAACTACTTAAAGTTTCTTCTTGAAAGCTGATAAAAGGGTAAGGCAACAAAGCAACTGTTTTATGAAAAAAATCAATGAACAATAAAGTAACTGATCTTTAGAAGAACGAATGAGGTTGAAAGAAACAAAATTTGTTTTCAATGCAATGTGGCAGCAAACTAAAATTGCTCTGCGCCTGTATACCATACCTCTTTGACATCATCAAACCGAACTTGAGAGGTTCTCTGCTCCCATCTCAGGCTGTTACAGGTGAGGAATCAGCCAATCATCCCAACAACAGCTGTGAAGTGGATAACTCTTCTATTGAATGCTCACCATCCTAAACCGTTAACAACAGTCTGTGGGGTCTGTGTACAAGCTGAAATAAGAAGCTTATTTCAAGCTTGTAAGATCCTCCAGGTCTATACCATCAATTCAATGACTTCAGGGCTAATCTATGCGTTACCGAGTTATTATATCTATCTGTAAAATGAAGGGTACCTTTAGATGTTAACTATCAAGCTCCACTTCTGAAGGTGTATGATTTTGGTTACATACAGGGTGGCCCCATTAGTGAGCTTTGCTTTGCTTTCCATCAGTGAGCTTTCCTCCTGAACTATGTTGGAAATGCGTCACACAAGGTTCCATAGCTTTGGTGCAAAAAAAATGACTTCTGAGTCATCAGCTTGGTACTGAGATGCTCTGAGACGCTACCCTGTGTGGAGGGCGCTATGTAAGTGCGAATTGTTGTTGTTGATGTCACCTGACTGCATCATTTGATGCAATCACCTGGTAGCTGAACGCAGTCTGAGAGAGAAGAAACTACACAGATTAAACACGTTATTTACCAGGAAAGGGATAAACAAAATTCTAGTTTACAAGAATCTCCAGGTCTATATCTATATTAATTCATTTACTTCAGGGCTAATTGACACGTTACTGAGCTATTATATTTGCAATTGATACCGTGCCTTTCACATTGGGTGCACATCTGAAAGAGCTTCACAGATTACACTGTGAATTGCAGTGGTTCTGTACTTTTTAGGCGAGGTTTCGTAGAGGTTTAAAGAAAAGAAACAGAAAATGCACAGACTGTTGCCATCTGCAGGCCAAAGACAAATGTTGCATAAAAAAAGATTTGTGGAAAATACAGTATCAATTACTTAAGACTTACAGTAAGCACGTTGAATTATGAATTTGCATTCAATGCTGTGCACTGCCATTACTGTTGACCTTAACCACTCTGGCTAAATGGCTCCATGTTTTTTTTTAAAAAATTTGCAGGCTTAGTGTGATTCATAGAGTTATTATAAAAACTAATTTCAGCTCCATCTGTTGCTCCCCAAATCACTAGGCCAATATGTTTACTTGCGACCTTCACTTTCAACGTTCAACAGAGCAAAGCCAGAGCGTTAAGCTTTTCTGTTACATGTCTCCTTGCCCTCTGCTGCTGGAAACGTAAATATTGGCGAATTTTACTTTTCTGGTGTTAATTGTTTTAATGTGCATTTCATCCAAGGTCTGTTCTGCATCTGTGGGCCTAGACCACGAATCTTGCCAGTTTGCGTCTCAGTGTGTCTTGTGCGTCTGTGTGTTTTGGGTGATTTTATGTTTCCAGGCATTGGGGAACATAGGAGTACTTGATTTACTGTAAAGTGTAATGTATGTAGGTGAATGCCACTGCCAATGGGTGCAAACCAATGTCCCACAAATAACCATGAACAGAATGACCAATGTTATGTGGGGAGTTCTTGGCCGGGTCACTGGAAGAAATGCCCTTTTCTTTTTAAATAGTGTCACTGATCTTTAACACCCTCGTTAACAGGGAGATGGTACCTCGGTTTTAATGTCTCATTCAGAGGATGGGACCTTCAACAAAGCAGTGCACGCCCAGCTCTGCAATGTAGTATCAGCCTAATGTATGGGAGTTCATAGTCCCAACATGGGGTTGAACCCACAGTGTGACTGAGAGGCGAGAGTGCTAGCTACTGAATAGCGAGCTACTATGCCAGGTGTTTTTATTACAGTTGAATAAATAGTTGCCATATCGTGGAGTTAAAAGAAATCACAATTTTGTTTTAGTCAGCCAGGTATCTAATACACACGGAAACCTGTCACTATGCTTCAGAGTATCCAAACCAAGCTGAGGAAATCACA